GTTTTGAGCAGTTGATAGAATATGAGAAGAATCTCGATACCTTAATGCTGGACATACTCATGGCAGCATAAGGGAGTACGACGTTACATCTTGTTTCCCTCTGCAGAGAGGGAGACATAATCATTGCTCAGAGGAAAGGAACTTGGCTTTTATGTGGATAATATTTACACATAGACATAATAATATAACCACAGTTTGCTGATTCTCAACTTTTCAACCCTACCCAACAAGGACAGCTTGATGATTATAGAACAAAATGAAAATGTTACCAGCTTTGAACGTGGGAAAGTGAAGGCAAGCACGGCAGAGGGTGGAAGGAGGAAGGGGGGAGAGGAGGTGGGAAGAGTGCGGATTTTAATATTCTCATTCTATTTGTGGACAGGTGTTTGTAAAATGGGTGGAATAAGAAATAGTAGTTAACGTATATTATTTAGGGGCGCCTGGGTGGCTCAGTCGGTTAAGCATCTGCCTTCAGTCAGCTCATGATCTCAGGGTCCTGGGATGGAGCCCCGCGGCAGGCTCCCTGCTCAGCGGGGAGTCTGCTTCTGCCCCTCCCTACCAGTCATGCTCACTCTCTCCCTCCTTCTCTGTCTCAAATAAATAAAACCTTTTTTTTTAAGTATATTATTTAGAGTTATGAATATAACCGATTAAAATAATTTGAAGCAATAATTTGTCTATGGACAGAATTGGGAGCAGGGGGAGAGGAAAGGCAAGATTTAGGGTAAGTGAGCAAAATTCTAATCTCTCATTGTTAGAAGTTAATAGATACTTTTTGAAGTTAAGAATCAAAAAATAGAGATAGGGGTGCCTGGGTGGTTCAGTCGCTTAAGTGTCTGACTCTTGAGCTCAGTTCAGGTTTTGGTCTCAAGGTCGTGAGTTCAATTCCCATGTTGGGCTCTACACTGGGCTTGGAGCCTGCTAAAAAAAAAAAAAAAAGCAGCTTATGGTGGTAATATCCAGAAGAATTAAGACCAGATATTGTTAAAAAAAGTAATTGTTTCTGGGGGTGCCTGGGTGGCTCAGTCAGTTAAGCTTCTGCCTTCAGCTCAGCTCAGGTCATGATCTCAGGGTCCTGGGATCAATCTCCACGTGGGGCTCCCTGCTCAGTGGGAAGCCTGCTTCTCCCTCTCCCTCTGCCTGCCTACTTGTCCCCTTTCTCCCTGTCAAATAAATAAATAAAATCGTTTAAAAAAAAATCTTTAAAAAAAAAAAGATTGTTTCTGAAAAGTGGGAGGAAAGAGAAGAGAGAAAATTATTTTTTTAAAAGAACCTTTTAACTATTGGGTTTTTTTTTTTTTCTTTTAACCATGTCCATGTATACTTTGATGTAATGGTATGTATTGGTTGAATTATGGAAACTACTGGAAATTTGACTTGCATATCTATCTTTGAAATTACTGTCATCATTGCCTTTAAGTAGTTAACTCAATGAATTATAGTTGTTTGCTTATTTGGTTTCACAGCAGAGTTTTGAAAATCACCCAGAAAAAGTGTGTGGCTCAAATTGACTTTTT